AGACTGTCTTGCTAATCTGTCTGCTATGAACCCCTCTTCAGCCCTTAAAATCAGTCTATTCGCCCTCCAATGCCCTAGGAAAATGTCACTTCAAGTTCCCATCTTCCCTGGCATTTGATCAGCTTAGATTTGAAAGCAAATTGCTCGACATCTCGCAGAACAGCACCTGAGGTCCTCTGGCTAAGTCCCTTCTTCCACAGAGGTTTTCTTTACCCACTTTATCTTGCAGCTACCAATACAAGAAGTTTTGCCTTTGGTTATACTGAAGCAGGATTGGGTCCCCTTGGTTTTGGTCATCTATTTACAGAAGGTGCTCTTAGACTATCAGGCAGCACCTGAGGCCTAAAGGGGACTGCTAGACATAGCTAAGAAATTGGAGTAAAACAGCTGAAAGGGATAGAAGGCTAAGAAAATACTGTATTTAGAGAAAGCTGGCTAAAGACCATCTTTTTATAGACTTGTGTGTAGTTTTATTGGTGTGTCCTTCAATGGAGCACTAGAAGAAACAATTCCTGGTCCCTGAAATTGCCCTTGGAAGTGACCGATGGAGATTCAGATACTTCCACACAGCATAATGGTTAAATTAAGCAAACTCAGTATTAGCCAACTTCATGTGTCTTCATGTGCAGTGGGTTTACACCAGCTTACGTGTATTGTTAGGAGTAGACAAATTTTCTGGATATGGTGGTTCAAATGGAAGAGTTTACACTCCAAGCCCCCTCTCACTTGCCTATCAGTACACTCATATTCTCATAGTGAGGTTAGTGGCTGAGGTCAGCAACCTCTCAGATCTGTCAGAGGACCTAGTTATGTGGTCTCTCTCTGTCTCACTCATGTCAAAATCCATTACTCACCTCTAGTAGAGGGGCTGTGGTGGGCATTTATGTCTAAACCATAAATAGGCAATACACCTTTCTCAGATGCAACTGTTTACAAAATCTACATCTGTTTACAGCCTTCAGCAATTAAAAAGCTAGTTAAATTTCCAGCTAGGTATTTTGCAATACACAGATAGAGTAATGAAGCAGAACTAGATGTTCAGTCAGAAGAAAGACAAGACCTCTGCAAGAACATCTTCCAGGCAGTAAAAATTGAAAGGTATTTCTGGTTTGACAGAAGCCTTTCCAGTTCACAGAATGCTTGGTTCCTACCCAAGGTTAATCCTTTGTTGTTGTTGTGTTTATACACAAACTTTTTGCCAAAGTTTTAATTTCCAGTTGTTCTTCAGGATACCCAAATCTGTTCTTGCTTCATGCCTTTAAAAGTAGACCAGAAAGAAACTTGACCTCGTATTTTCAAAACCTAAACGTGATTTCTCCTTCCTCACCATCTTATTCACTGCTGTGTCCTATGATCTCCCTTTTTCATCTGTTTTTTCACCATCATCCAGGTAATGGATTAAGACTTTCATGCTATAGAAACTGATTCTAGAGCCAAAACAACTCCCAGTAAACTTCCTCTGACAGGCTTGTGTGAAAAGGGCTGTCATTTAGTTAGGAATCCAGATGCCCCGTTCCTCTTGAGGATGTTTAATTCATGTGACTGTGTTTGATAAGGGAAGGTCAGTTACCCTACAAAAGGAATGTTTTTTAGCTCTTTTGTTGTCTTTATACAGTCAACAAAGGAGCAAAAGTAAAGATGAAGATCGACAAAAGCCAAGGCACTCCCTTATATTTTACTAAATAAGATTGCCAAATCTAATAAAGCCAAAGCACATGTAAAGTCCCCCTGGCATATGAAATTACTCATGTATGATTGTTATTAAGTGTTAAGTTCAGATGCAAAGCTGTAGTTCACTATCTTTTATAATCAATTCAATTTCTTTCATTGACCCTAGATTTCAATGACTGACTGGATGAAAGCCTGCACAAATGATAAGATAAAATATATCAAAATAGAATAAAATAATTTAGAAAGAAATGTCATAAATAGGTGGATGTTTGTGGCAAAATGATGGGTTAGCTTCATCTCAGTGTACCTTTCATATCTATGCAAGAAGAGTAGATTAAATTCTTCCAGGGGAAAATCTATTGACTTGAGACAGTCCACATAATGAACGGATGTGTTGCAAAGATTGGAATGGGGAGGATATTTTAGGCTAATTTGCCTATTTGGATGGCACTACCTTCTTCCACAGAAGTCAACAGAAGATTTGTCTTTGACCTCAGAGCACGAATAGGCACTGAAAGCCCTTTGCTACTTTTCCAGGCACAAAAATGTTAACCTCTATATCCTGGCCAAACTCCAAGGTGGGCGATTACATTCTGCTGCCCTGATTTTTCCCTCAGGCTCAACTAGATCTAGCATCATTTCCTGATGTCTACTGTTACTTTTGCAAGGTTATTGTTAACTTTTTCCTCCTTGCCTCCTAATTTTCCTTATCAGTTGTATCTTTTTTGAAGGTCAGAATTGTTTGTTTCTGGATCACAGCTTTTATTACATTGAGGGACCATGAATATGTGCAGTGCTACAGTGATAACAATATCTTTATATCACTTTTACTCTTATATCATATACATAGCATAGCCCAGCTATAAAAGGAAATTAAATGTATTTTTTTCCCCAAGCACTCACGCAGTTATGTTTTTGTCAAATATCACATCATACTGGTCTTGAAAACCAAAAGTTAAAAATACAGCCCAAAATTACAGGGCATTCTGAGTGTGTTTAGAAATCAATTGCCAATTTGCTTGCAAAATAACACATTGCTTAACTCTACATTGTGTTAAAGCAGTAGTTTATTACACTCTAAAGAGATTATGATTTCCATGGCCATACAATCAAATAATTTTTGGAAGAAGTTTGCACATCATTGCTAGCAGAATTAATTTAATTCACACTTAGTATTGATCAGAGACATTACTTTTACTCTTAGAAAAAACATTCACTACAAAAGTTAAGCAGCTCTGGTGTAACTGCTGATTTCACTTTGGCTCTATAAAGCTGTAACGCCTGCACTCTGTTACTCTTATTCAGTAATTCAAGCTAGTTAGGAATATCAGCACTGAAATCACTTAGTAGAATATCAGCACTGAAATCACTTAGTATAAGCAATTCTAAAATAGAGGATGCAGTGCGCCTTCCCTCAGCACGTTCTCAAAGAGAACAGCACTAAGTACAGACTGGTGGATTACCCGTATGGAGAAGCCACACAGACTCTAGCTCTGGGGACGTGAATTGATTGCTTAGTCCCGGTACCACGGGGTTAAGTGAAATGCTATCACAGTAATTTATTATTAAGAGAAATGGTGATGGCTTAGATTAAGAAGATTTGTCTGTCTCTTCCAATTAAGGTTAGGTCCTTAAGAAGCTTTACTATCCTTTGAAGCTACAGAGACTAAAATTAGGATTCTGGTTCTGTTTAAAATGTCACTAGGTTGGTCCATAATCCTGTAGTGATTGCAGCAAGGGATCATTCTTCCAACATTGTGATTCCTTGTTTGGAAACTAGTGAGCCAGGACAAGACCCCATGAATCAAAGTCTGAGTATTCTATTAATCAGCAACAAATTGGTCCTGCAGAACATCGTAACACTCTTGCAGTGACCCCGTGAAGACTGTATAATAAATGGGGAGCTGGCAAAGAAATCAGCTGTAAGACACAGTAACTCTATTGCTGGCAGACAGCAAATAGTAGCAGCAAGTGGGCTGTGTAGAGAGGGTGAAGAAATTGGGGGGAAGATCTGTTTTCAGGCTGTAAGTGAAGTCATTTTACAGTGGCATTTACAATCCTATACATGACAATAGCATCCTAGGCTCTAGTGTCCTCATTTGGTGGTCTACAGAAAATGTCAAAACCTCAAAGCAATAGATGGATCGTTTCCAACTTTTCAATTATGCTCCTATTTACACAGCATACAATGAACCTACGGAGCTCACTGTTACAGGATAATAACAGCAAAAGCGTAAATTAAGTTGAAAAATTTTTAGCAAATTTTAAGCTTGGAGTCAGATGTGTAGAACTACAGCAGCTCTGCCTCAATTAGTAAATTACAGAAATGTAAAACTGGTGAAATAGAAAAATCAGACCCACTTATGAAGAACAAAATCTTCTTTGACAATATTTAGTATAATAAAACATCTGGAGGAAAAGAAGCATCAATATATTAAGTCACAAGTCAGTTTCTAGTTGGTTGTGATTAGGAAAATACTTTTCCAGTAGGTAAGATTAAATTATGATTTGCTACAGGGTGCCCTTCTCTAAATGAACTGATGCTGCTCTGCAGCTGAGACAAAAGAGGGAGAGCGTGTGGCCCAACATTCTTCTGCAGTATGCCAGGTCTTATGTACCTGTCAGATAGGACAGCGTGCTGGGAGCCACTAATTTGCTCTTCAGCAGCTCACAGAGGGAATCATCTTTTAATTCGGTTTAGTGAAACAAAGGACGTTTATATGTATACTGGTATGGATGAGCTGCAAGTTCTGAATCTCAGGTATCTGACCAAGAAAACCTCTCATCAATGAATTCAGTAAGAGTCTACAAGCTTTTACTGATCAATCTGCTGAGCAATGAATGAAACTCAATTGCTCTGTTGGATTGTGTTCATAAACTTTTCATGTTACAGTGCATCTCTTTTGCTTTGCCATTCTTTTCCTCTTAGGTTAACTGTCATGTTGTTATAGACAAGAGCATCCAATTAAGCAGCAAAATCAATGCCCTACCATTCAGATAACCCCTCACAAAGTCTGAACAGCACATGTTCATGAAGGATCTCCTGAGTAAAAGCTATTTGCCCCACAGAATCTTGTGATTGGTTTCAAATGATAAGTAAAAGGGCTCAAAAAGATTACAGGACGTGACTTAGTTCAGTCCCCTTTATTTACTCTTACTCAGATTAAGATAGGGATGAACAATACCTACCTTTTGTGAACAAAGCAGCAGGGTGGTTCACAAAACATTTGTTATTGTGAGAGAAGGGTACAGTTGTAATTAGCATGGTTTGCTTTGAGCCATTCAGTCTATTTTAGTGTGTCCAAAATCTGGTTTCTATTGCAGCAGGCATGAGCAGTTCCTGTGTGACACTGGCCGAGGTCCTGTGGGCAAAAGGAAGCCCTCTGGAGGAAGAAGAAATATGGGCACTCTTGTACCTGGCCACAGTGCAGCTTCTGGAGGACCTTCACAAAGGTTAGGTGAAAAGTATCTTATAATTCTTACTGTTGGAAATTCATTCTTGAGTTATTTTAGCTCTTTTGAGTTTTGGGGTTTTTTTTTGGTTTTGAGACAAAAAGCACCGATGGCAATAATAGCATATTGCTAATAAAAATAAGAAATCTTTCAGTGCTGCTGGGATTACATGCAGACTCCTCCACTACATAGGAGATCTTCACACTTTTTTTTCCCCAAATTACACATCAGAATTCATCTAAATACAACTATACACAGTGGAACAGGACAGAATTGTCCTTCCTAAAGTCTGAATAACATACACACACAAAAAGTGCAGTGCCAGCTGGGATCATGTCCTTCATGTACTGATAAAGGAGGACAGGCAAACCCACAAGACTCCTCATTCAGCTAGTAAGAGACTTTTATCCTTGATGATAATAATGTGACATCATAATGGCTAGGCATGTCATCATGATGAATTCTTGCCAAACAGGCCAGCTGTACAAGAGAGCACAGCTGAGCAACCTGTCACATTTTGAGAACTGTTTATGACAATGGATATTCTTTTGGAGGAGAGAATGGATGAGATGTGTTCTTACCTCATCAGCATGCAGAATCAAAATACAAAATACTGAAAACAAGTGATGTGTAACTTCTGCTATAACTAGAGGGGGGAACTTTTATTACCAACTAGTTTTTAATGTACTGGAACACTATAGCAGGCTGACTATACCATCAGTTCTCTATTATCTAGTGTAACAAGAGGATGGAACAGCCCAGACAAGACAGGCACGAGGAATGTGCAAAGGAGCGCAGCAAAGAGATACCTGCCTGGCTAGATTCAGCTCAGGTCCATCACAGCTTATTAACTCAGTGCCAGACACTAAGCTGACACTATGCTCTCCTGATCTCTTGTTTAAAAAAAAAAAAAAAAAAAAAAGGCAAGACTTCTTGGATGTCTATTGAATTGAGATAATCAGCCTATGTTCCCTATGCTGCACCAGTCAAATTTAGGGTATTATGGTCAGACGATGAAGAGTAAAACAAGAGGTAGTAGGGATGTAGAACCAAGCTGGTCTATAGGTCAAGTGCGAGCCTGCTCTAACACCTTTAGAGAGCTCAAGTCCAGAAGTGATACCAAGTTGGACTCATTCTGAAGCTGAATCCCCAGTGCTCCAGTTTCTTGGAGGGCAGCAAAGGTGAACTGCCTCTGCATAGCATCATCCCAGTTGACTAAAGCATATCTCTGGCTCCACATCTCTTAATTACAGCTATACTGCTTCTGGAATCAGCCTCTTCGCATGGCTAAGTACTAGCTTAGCCATGCTTGTGCTGCGCTGTGTTTGATGTAATAAAACCTGCTAGACCTGGTGATGGTCAGCACCACTTGCTATAGCAGTATTTCCAATGTGTTTGGGCATGCTGACTCGTTGGCCGACCAACATTACAGAAGGCCAGGTAATCTTCATCAAGGCTAAAGTATAAGCTGGCTATCTGTTTCTAAAACAATTTTCCAATGCTAGTTTATTTGCATACAATACTACAGAAAATGAGGAAGGAGCAAAAGAGAAGGCTAGCTGATGACTTTAAGACCTTTAATTTTCTAAAGAAGTAAATGCCACAACTGTTGCAAATACCAGCGGTCCATAAGTCTTGAATATCTGTGTCTTCTGGCTATACAAACCTCCTAGGTTTATGTTAGTTCCCAGGTTATCACTTTACCTATTCTTACAATCCATTTTCCTGATGTAAAGGTCACCATGCATAAGAACTAGGTAGCCATTTTTTAATACATAATTTTTAAATGCTAAAATGCCAGAGCATTTAGGGCACGTTTCTGAGCTCTTCTCCTGTGGAGATCTGAATGGTCTCTGTTCTCATGGTCTAGACTGAAGAGAGTGGTTCAACAGCCAACCTTTTTTTTTTAAAATTACCTATATTTCCAGGTACCCTATATCTAAATATTGCCATAGTTAATGCAGCTTCTCCTCTTTCTAAAGTAAACAGATTGATCTTAGAAGCTATTTATCATGCTTTTATAATGAATATTTTAATAAAATCACTTGGATGTCCTTGGTCGAATTCACTTAACGCATGTATGCGAGTGCAGAGCGTTTGCAGAAGACTGCACGTCCTCACGCTTCCACTCCTGCTTCAGACCACTGGGACCAACCTCAGTGGATCTCTGCAGGGATATTTTTTAAGAGTACTCATCCCTTTACAAGAAGAATCTATCCCATTACTGAAACACCTTCAAATAGATTTTTTCAGGGAACAGCAAGGGCAAGATTTGTACCTTGGTCATGCAACTTAATGGAAGCAAACTTAAGGTCTTTTGCAAATGCCAGCTTCAAAGTATTCACACTTTATTGGAAGGAGTGTTCTACTTTTCTGATATACTCTTGTACTTTGCATAAAAAGATCTACCAAAAATGTTGAGATCTCCAGAATCTGCACATGGGATGTAAATCGTCCTTTCCTTAGGCTTCAGAAATCCATTTAAATAAATATATTGTTTATATGTGTGAAATGATGAGAGAGAGAAATCAAGTCGTTAACCATCACTGAATTCCAGCTGACAAAATCAGCCAGGCATAAATGAACATGATTCCATTGACTTCTGGGTACAAATCGAGGAAACTTCAGTGGCGGGTTTGGCTATGCAGGTGAGATGCCAGCACTATGATTTTCTGAGTGCAGTGAATTTAACACTAAGAACTCCATTATCTTCAACTTTTTTCAGACTCTGCCACCTGTGTGATTTGTCCATGGTCAGTACTACTGTCTGCTGAAGGAAATTTGTCCTTCCAAAACAATGCATCTCAGACAGAAGCTGTTCCTTTCAGTGCACCAGAATTGCTCCATAGACAAAGTAAAAACCAGCGCATCGGACTAACAAAGGTGAGGTATAATACAAAATAAATCTTTACACTACCTCAGGAAGACAAGCTTGTGGGTTTTAATGCAGCATAGCAGGTCTCTACTGTCAAACTCCATTTTTAATAACAATAAACAAATTAGGCTACAGTTAGAAATATTTACATGTATCTTGCAGCTCGCCATTAGATTAGCATGCATGTCAACATCAAAATCAATTTTGAACATCAGTCTTCAAGGGGTGCAGAAACATATCATTTGTAAAGGCCCACAGAAAGGAAGAATATTTCTATGAACATGATGTTTGACCAGCTATGGTAATTGTAATCCCAGAAGCAGCAGGACTGCAGTATCTACAATCAGGGAGTGGAAGCGCTCCCAGGAGGTCAGAAATATGTTCAGCTTTGTTAACAATTTACTTTTCCCTCCCTGCCAAATGAGTCTCTCTGGCAACACTCAGGTACCTCAAAGTTTTAAATACCACTAGGATCACATCAGTGCATACTTCCCTCAGGCAGAACACAGTAGTTTCAGACTCCCACATAACTGATCACTTAGATGCTATGCAGAAATATGAAGCTTTGGAACAGCTAGCCCTTCCTCCAGTAATCCTCTTCCTGGACACGACTTCTAGTCAGTCCCACAGGTAGGGGAGAGCTTTAATTGCCAGTGGGAGAGCTTCCAAACTAAGAAAGAAGTTCAAATTTCTTTTCCTACTCATGGCATCATTGGATAGAGGGCAGCCTGGCTCAGCCCCTCAAGCTGAGCAATACTCATTGCATGCTATCTAGTCCGTAAGCCAAGAGTCACTATTGTACTTTTATATACATTTCCTCTAGTCTAGTTTTTAAAAAAATTATCTGTTTGGCTTCTGCCATTTTGTGACCAAAGACACAAAAAGATGGTCTCTCTAGTATGAAGCTTTTCTGTACTTCATATTGACTTCATAAAGGGTTTCCTTTTCTGTTTTGGCAGATGTTGGTGTATTCCTTAGGAATGACCCTCTATTGGTCAGCAGACTACCAGGTTCCTCCAAACCAGGCCAGTAATACAAACATTTTTGTTTGCTTTTATTCTGTCTTATATTGGTAGGTTCAAATATTGAGAGACATATTCTGAAGTCTCAGTATGAGGGGCTTTATGTTTTGAACCACTAGAAAGAATTGGAAAGCTTGTGTCAAGGTCCAGACTTCACCAAAAATACCAGTTAAGCCAAATCAGGAATTTAGTTAGGCCTCATCTTTACTTTTTTCCCCCTTTTTCTTCAAAAACCAGAATTGTTCCCGTTAAGATGAATTTTACCTTGCTTTTAAGAGTGAAGATTATTTATTCCAAGACTGTAACGGGTTGCCCAGGGAAGTGGTTGAGTTATCATCCCTGGAGGTGTTTAAAAGGCACGTAGATGTGGCACTTAGGGACGTTGTTTAGTGGTGGACTTGGTAGTGTTAGGTTTACAGTTGGACTCAATGATCTTAAAGGTCTTTTCCAACCTAAATGATTCTATGATTCTATGATAGGAAGGGCTAAAAGAAAAACATCATGTTGGCATGATTGTGTTGCTATGCATATTTATTTGCCTCTTCAAAGAATGGGATGATGGAATATAACTACATAACTCTCCTTATTTCTGAGCAATTTCTACCAGCATCTCTGCTAGTTGAAAAGTTGCATTTCTTGCTTACCCAGAATACTTTCAAAGATTTGTAGCACACATTTTGCTTAATTTCTATATCCATTCCTTTGATTGCATGTTTTTGATATGGATACCACAAGCTTTCAGTAGATTTGACCTCCCTTTCATGGGTATACATGGTTTAAGAGAAAAGGCTCTATGAGCTAAATTACTCTAAAATTTAAGTATCTGGTCTCTATGGAAACAGTTTTGGCTGTTATAACTCCTCACCTTTTTGAAGTTAATGCTGCCACATGCCTTACTTGCATGAATCTTTAAGATTCAGTCTAATTAGCAAAGCTGTGGAGCAGACGGAGCTGTTGTCTGTCACCAAGAAGCCCCTATATGGGCTGCTGACCCTCCTTGTAGATGCCAGTTCCCTCCAAGGCTATTCTGGATCCCATCAGAGGCTCCATTTAGTGCTGTTATGCTGCCTGTCTGGAATTTTCCCAAAGTCTGAAGGAATTCAGTGCCCATTTCTCACCCAGGGTGAAAGGCTTACAGAAATTCCTAATCCCAGTTTACACAGGGTTTCAGACCACTGGGAGATGACATTTAACAGTACCTCCATTTTGACTCAGTCCCTCCAGCTAAGTGACCAACTACACATGCTCTTGCTGACACTATGTGAAGATCTGCCACATAAAAGACTTTCTCCTGAATCAATTCTGGAAGCATGTGAGGTGCATCAGAAGGAATCTGCTTCCTTACCTGCAAATGTCTACATAAAGAAAATGGTCCAGTTTGCTGTGGGAAGTGTCAGTGAGGTAGGTACTACTCTCATACTCTAATTGTCTCCTTTTCTTTGGTGAGAGAGATGAGCAGCAACATGGGATACAGGTGAGCAGTTGCCTGAAATTAATGCTTGCATGAATTAAGGAAATGAGATTTGGTTCTAGACTTCTAAGCAGGAAATTGAGTGGGCATGTGTACAAGCAAATGAGGCAATGAAGCCATCTCTCACACCACTCTTACATTCCTGGGAAATGATACAAAGCCAGCTTTTGCACTTACAATATCTTAATTGCTATGGTTAATACTGAAGCAATCACAACCTTTACAGAGACTTCATATTGGCCAGAGAAATGGACTTTACACAAGAGAAAAGATTTCCCCATTGCCACTCTGGTTTCAGACTTTCTTTGTGAAATTCAAAGAAATCACATTTACATCATATTGAGAATTTCATTCATCATCCTTGAGTGGAACTGAACATTTGCCATGCAATTAAGCCTGACCACGTGATGTCTTTAATAAGTGAGCACCTGAGCCTTCTTCAAGATATGAAGTATCAACAAACATTTTTTGTTGACAAGCTGAATGGAACTGGAAGAAAACACACTGCAAATTTTTTTTTTTTTCTGTTTTCAGCTAGTATTCATTAACATTCTGAGATGACCTTTTCCTTTGCACTCTCTATTACTCTATTTCCCACTGTAACAGAGGGTGTCCCCTCTTAAACACAGCTAGCATGAGAGCATGAAGCTGTCGAAACTCAGTCCTGCTTTGTGCTAATCTGAGAAGGTGAAGTTGCTTATACCAAGCAAATCAGCAGCCTCTGAGGAGCAGAGGGCAAGGATCACTTCAGTATGAAAGTCTGAAGTCCACATATCATATGACATTGACTTGCAGTACTACTGTCTTCTAGGTAGAGCGGTTAGTCACCGAAGACAGCACGGCCTCTCAGCTTAACAGAAGTCATGTGATAAGGAAAAGACTGCATGAGAAAATATCGGACACCTCACCACTGTCCTCCCAGATGAATTTTCACCAAGGTAAAGAAAAACTTATAATCTGAACTGTAATAAGGATACAGCCAGCCTTTTCTGAGTCTTTCCCAAACTAGGTGAATTGTTTAATTTCATGCTGTAGTGATTACACATAGTGTTGGATAGGATATTCATTGCTTTACATATAAATGGCTTCATAATGGAAAGACTCTGAGGCAAGTCAGCAAGGTTTCTGTTCCTTATTTCCTCAAAGGACAGTAGTCTGAGGGCTGTGAAGCAATGATAACGGAACAGCTTGCACAGATTCAACTCTTAAAGCATTTTGCATAAAACCTGTGCATACAAAAAAACCCTACTTTCAAAACAGCTTTTGTACTTTGTATACTCCAGTGTATTTTTGAAGGTAAAGAGTGGGATTCCGTGAAGCTATTCTGTTGCCATTAAGGAATATATATTCATCCTTCCTATTTGATTACTCAAGCAAAGATTTGTGGTTTCTTTTTGATTTTAGTTCTGTTTTTCTATTCAAAAGATGCTTTATAAACTCACACATGGATTGCTGGAGTGATTTCAAGACACAAGGCCAAGTCCTGCTCACTATATAAATAAACCAGCATATACTATTTTCATACTTCATTTGACTAAGATCAAGATTTTATTATCCCTCAGAGTAATTATCTAACCGTAACTAAATGTGGCCTTCAGGTTCAGGTAGTTCTTTTTTCTAGTCTCTATATTGTACTGTTCACTTCAACAGAAATCTTTGATTTGGGGGCAAGGCAAAGGTTCACCCAAGCTATGCAGGCTTGTTTTGGATATGCTCAACATTAGGCACATGAATGATCCAATTCATATTCAGCAAATCCCACGTATGTTTCATTAATTTCAGCTAGAATTAAACACACACTTAAATACCCGTGGAACTTTTCTATTAGGTATTATTGGTCATAAGAAAAGGGGATTCTTTTGAAAACATACAGACAAACCACCCTGCAAATCATATTGGCTCCCTCACTCATTCAGAAACTGAGCTTATAGATTCACACTCACATAAGCTGGTGAAAACTCTGCTGCTGCCAAACAGGGTGGTCCCATCTTCAACCCCCTATTAGCCACAAATTACTGCCATTTCCCTTCTACTTGTTCTAGTGATTATGTGTCTGGGGTGATCTCTGTGTTTGCTAGGGATTCAGGTCACTGAGGGGCTTACACTTCCTGAAGGACTTCAGTGAATCAGGATGTCGATTACACTGAGAGCATGTGAGCCACACTTTTCAAGGCAGCATTCCATTTCTTTCTTTTTTTTTTAATTAAATATGATCACCTTCAGGGATTCTGGAAAAGGACAAGAGACAATGCAACCAAAGTAAAGCTAGAGTGCAACAGAAATACATACTTCCTAATGCCTTAGGCTGATCCCTTCATGAAATTTCTGCAGCTAACTCTGGCAGTGGATTGTGTCTGGGCGCTGTCCGTCCAGCAGGCAGAAAGAATACTTTAGAGCTGAAGGTTCTGGGCCTCAGAATATAAGGAAGGAGAACTTTGCATGTTATCTGCGCAACCTTTCAGTTAAACATGCAGAATAGAATTAATATAATAGTTTTGTTTTATTTGGAATGGTTGAGGAGAACTATGAGAACTGTTTTGGGTCAGAATAAGATTATGAACGTAATAGAATGAAGTTACCAAGCTTTCCTCGGTCCTTAAGGAATTGAAGTCAGGATTAGAATACAGACAGACATGGACTATATAAAAATTAGTCAAGCCAAATGTTATTTACGTTATCATGCAGATACAATGATTTACAATTAAAGTATGTGATTCACCATATTTCCTTTCTGTTTCCAGACAAAGGGTCCAGATTAATGAATTATAGTTGGTCAACAGAAGATTACAGACAACTCTCTATGGACTACAGTGACTCTAATAGTATTTCTGAAAGTACATCTTTGATACTGTCAAACCGAGGACACAGGAGAGGTAAGATTTTCCTGAACTATTTTGTTTCTGATTTATGTACTCATCTCTTTTGTCCTAGGAAATGTGAGATCACCCATGTATGGTCAGGTGATAGGTACTCCCATGCACTTGGGGTTACGCGACTAGGGAGGTGTATTTGGGCTAAGCTGCAGAGAAGAAAGATCCTTTTATACTGGGTTCCTTTTTATGTGTGTCCTACTGTAAAGCTATATATACCCTGGTTACCTTGCAGCTACATCACCTCTTTCTTGCTTTATGCCCCCTTTGCCAGGTGAAGCTGTGCAGCAGATCACAGACAGCATGTTTCTAGCACATGGGGTCTTGAAAGAGATGAGAAACAGTGGAGCTACCCCACAAATGCATATGATGGGCAATGTCAAGATAGCAGCACTGAAATCAGTTGAATCTATGAATAATACCTAAGACTTGAATAGTGGTAATTAATGCTTCTTCAGGCCCATTCAAAAACAAAGGGACTAATTCTGAAATCTAGAGGAAAAAACCAACCAAACAACCCTTTTCTTGCTTTCCATTTTTGTCCTAAAGCCATTGGGTATTTCCTGCTCGGTGTGTTGCTTTCATTGTGCTAAATGCCAGGTTGCAATGCTGCTCTTCAGATTTACTTTGTCCAGAGAGATCAGGGTTGGAATTTTAGCTTCACTTTCAATCCTTTTATGGCAGGAACAGCATGAAAAAAACTGTTAGGGAGAGGATCCATTCAGAGAAGACCCTGTGGTAGACATTATTCAGGGTCCTTCCCAAGCTACTTAAACCACAGTGTAGGGGAATACTATGAAGCAAAGAAGGGAACTTAGCAGGAAAGGAAGTACTGCTATGCCCGTGTATCCTCATGTTTAAACTGAATCTGAGCTAGTGACACCTAGACAGGACGTTCACACTGCCCAAGAACAAAAAGTTCCCATTGCCCAATGTCATCAGCGTCTCCTGAAAAACCAAGCTTACCATGCTAGCTCCACATTCTCAGACTCCTGCCCATTTCTATTCTCCATTTCACAGTTACCCACCCTCCCATCTGCTTTCTATCTTTTTTCTGTCCTGCCTGGGGCACTTCTACTGAGCTTTCAGACCCAGAGGTGGACGTTTGCTTCTGTACTTCAGAGTTACTTCCTCCCTCTATGTGCCTCCATGAGAAATGAAGAACTAGGTTCTGCTGCAGCAGGGATTCAAATGTGCTCTGTGTGGTTTTTTTATCCTACAAATTTCTTCCCTAAGGCAACAACCCTAGCATCCACTACATCAGTTACGATGCAACAAGGTATGCACACCAACCGGTTAGTTCATTGATGCCATGAATAACAGAAAGTTGCTGCGTAGTCCTTGCTTTTTCTCACTGGGGAGTGTTAATTTGGGTTTATGATATCCAGCTACTGATTGTCGTGAAATTCATAGGAAGATATTACCCATGCTCTTCCAAATGTGAAAGATTTAAAATTTACTAGGCAAAAATGAAAGGCATAGAGCATGATCTCAAGGGACTAATCTCCCTAGGAAAGGTGGCAAAAAAACCTGGGTGCACACTGCATTATCACAAGTCTGCCATTCACAGAGAGAAAGTGAATACATCCTGGGAAAAAAAACCAAAATGTAATAGTCTCTCAGCCCCAAGGATGAAGAAGGTGAGGTTACTCATACAACTGCTGTTGATACTCTCCTCCTGAAAGGAACTGCTTTTCTGAAGCTCCAGGTTTGCAATCAATATCAGCAGCAATAAAAACCTGAGATTATAGCTGTTCCCTATGGAACACATAGGTGTCAGTCACATACCTGGTGGCACACAGTGAAGGTGAACTGAGAAGCCTGTTTTGTAAGTCCTTTTTTAAAAAATCTTGGTCATAAACTTGACAAAGGCTCATTCCAGTGAATTTGTGCATGTCTCAGTCTCCACTGAAACATTGGTAGGTGTTCATACTCAGGATGTTCTAAGACAGAACTCTAAAAATACAGGAGAAAACACAGAATGTGAGAGCTTGTTTGCCACAGACATTCTTTCATGAGATAATGTATTAGAAAAATGCATTATTCTCTGAAAAGAAATATTACCATCTAGTAGAGCACCATTACCAAGGGAGATCAAAATCTCTGTCCAGACTACACTTTAGAAACTCATTTAACATATAATAAATTAATGATCTACAGGATCAGCTTCTTTGAGGGCCACACATTACTTAAACATCAGCAACGTGTTGGATTTGGGATCCAAGCACAGCAGTCTGGCCACTGAAATTAGCCAACTTGTCCCACTGCCATAACAGCTGAGACAGAAAAACGAAGGGGAATTTTATGTGCTTGTCAAAGTATATTTACACAATTATGTGAAACCTATAGTGTAAGTAGAGAATTTTGTAAGGCTTTCTCATTACAAAGCATGTACTTTCAAAACACAGGACTGAATCTTAACTTTCGTAACTAGCCCTGAGCATTTGGCTTATCTCAAATCTGCAATTCTGTCACTACCATCTGCAGCTTGAAAAAACATTTATTCATATTTTAGCAATATGACTGTAGATTTTCTAGTTTTTAAACTTGCAGTTGGTGGTTGGTACACTAGAATTCAACTTCATGTTTTCATGTTGAATTCAGAGTGAGGTCTCAGAGTGTAGTTCATGGGTATTTTATCTGGAGAAAAAGCTGACCTAAAGGATTGCTTCCACATAGCTCATCTTATCACCTCTATCATTCTGCCTATGTAATAGTTTGATATGTAATTCTTCAAATAAGATCAATGAAATGATCCAGGTGGAGAAAAATTTAACCTTCCCACCCTTCCCTTAAGGATTTAAAACATCTCTGCTGCTAGAAGAAATGTGCATGGAACTACCGCTTGCATAACCCTTTCTGGTTCTACCTCTAAATTTCAGCCTTCATGTATTTGGACAAAGCAATGCCTATCCTTTCTGTAGCAGCTGAAGATGAAAAATCATACAAATCTTGTTTGCTAATGACTCACAAACCATCTTATATTTCCACCAGATTTTTATGAGGTAAAAACATTCACAATATATCTAATGTAGCAAATAACCAGTGGAACATTTGCAAACAGGTTTCATTTCAGTGATTTTATATTCTACTCTGATTAGACCAGAGAAGTTTCATGGCTTTTTTCCCCCCTATTTTATGCCTGGAAATAGAAGAACAAAGAATACTAGGGGTAATTCTGAAGAGCAAAAGCTTTTTCACAAATTACCCCCATACATATGGAAATGACAGCCATTGTACCTACACAGCTATTTTCCAAATTACATTCACATGAAGGGTTATGAAGAGGAAGTAACAATAACTACAGAACTGGGAATACTGCTAGTGTAGTATTCACTTGGCCTTATCAAATAGCCATTTCATCATGCCCAAGCAAGGACACAACAGAGGAAGTAGCCAGTCTGAATTTCCTCCTTGTTGTAATTGTCCCCAGATCAGATGATGAATGCTGCTACAATTGCTTCAGTTGTGAAATTTCCTTTCTTCTTTTCAGGGAGAGTACCACAGACACACAGGTCATGGGACCCCACCCTGAGTGGGTCAAGGACACAAAGTAGCTACAAGCTCTTCATAAACAGGTAATCAAAACTCATATTCCTAAAAGATGGAAGCTGTTTTATTACCAAGTGAAGCAGACAACTAGTGTGACAATGTCATTATCAGAAAATGCCTGGATCGCCATCTGAACCTGTTTTGATAACAGATACTATTTATGTAGAATTAAAGTGCACCTAGGCTCGGTTTGGCTCCAAGTGAAACAGTCGAAATGCTCCAGTGAAATGGAGCCTGGGCCCTGAACAATCCATACAAAACAAGCACACTGAAGTTTCCCACCGTTACTCTTGCCCACTGTGTCCTGCCAGATGCCACTGGCCTCCCCGAACAGCTGCCCCCAGCGTGTCTCTGCCAGAATCAGGCAGGTACGCAGCAATAGCTCGCTGTGACTGAAACAACAGGGAAGCAGCTCCACAGAGAGCGTGGAAGGGAAAAACCTTTTGAAAAGGTATGAACTGTCATTAATTTAACTGGCAAGGCATTCTTGCAGAGTCTGTGTTTGTCTCCACTTTGAATCTGGTCTTGCCTTGCCATCATGTTAGCAGAGGCCTGATGTGTTCTGGAGTGGTGATGACAGACCATGTATACGATCCATCACTTTCAGTGGATTGTTTGCATTTCCATCTCGGTTCTTAGACTGATTTGTCTCACTTGTGTCGACTATATCCAGCCCCATGCCACCACTTTACTGAAGAGTTACAGGCAACCCAGGGACACAAGCAGCAAAGACCTCTGCTCTGTCATGAGGATTAACCTCATTTCAGCCATGGCATGTGCAGCAGCCCTGTACATAGACAAGGAAAGCTGAGAAAGGAAAGCTGAGAACTGTACAAGTGATACTAACTCCTTTTCAAAAGCCAGGAAAACACGACCGCTGCCAAACAAGAGTTTTCTAGACTGGGTGTTAGCACAGGGCAGCTGTAATCATGGCTGTTTCCAAAAGAAGAAGAGATGTAAGTACTGTTAGCCTCTAGGCACCACAAAGACCAGAAACCCATAGTTAAGCACCATGTAATCCCTACAGACATCCCATTTAAATTGAGTTCTTGACCCAGTTTAACAGGAGTTTCTTCTTTTAACCATGACATGAGTAATTCAGGCCCACAGGAAATGCTCCACTTCGATCAACTCCCAATTAAATGTATCCCAAGTAAACAGTTTGAACTTCCTGATAAACCAGCCACGATAATCTCAGTGATGTGAAATACCCCAGTACACCTCTAAATCTGCAATAAGAAAGAACTACAAGCAGGTTGCAGGATAGTGGCAGCTTTTATGAAGAAAGAACTCTCTGTCTACCCATCTTAATCTGCAATAAGAAAGAACTACAAGCAGGTTGCAGCATAGTGGCAGCTTTTAAGAAAGAACTCTCTGTCTACCCATCTTAGCTACACACACATACATCTATATTTGTGTATACAGACATCTATGTATGTGTCACACACCTGGCAATGATATCAGCAACAGAACATTTATTTACTCCGTATTTTTGAGCAATTGCCATGCCTCTGACCACCGATCTGGGTATCATCTGGATATCCTTGATCTAAAATCATGCTGCTAAGAAAATGTTCCCCTCCTCTGCTGAAAGATGAACTCTTTTCTGCAAATTTCCAGCAAGCTCTTTCCTATAGAACTTCAGGTGCTGTAAACCCCACTTTTGGTTTTAAGCCTCTGCAACTGAATTTCTATCAAGGTCACCATCCTATTGTAAGTACCATGACAACAGTGGAGTTGAAATAATTAGTTTGGAAACCACCAGTTTCCTATATAGAAGGACAACCAACACAAAACTTAGTGATGGCTTTACTATCTATAAAGCTTACTAATATCATCATGCTCACTTCTTTAAGCAGTCCAACTGACATAACTTACATCTCTTAAAGTTAAGCTTGTAAGTGTATGCAGGGCCATGGCCTAGATATAGAGCTGTCAAGCCTGGTATCTCTCACCTCGAAGGACTAATAACAGGAAGTGTTTTCCACAGGAAACACGGCAGCTTGGGTTTTGAGCTAATAGTAGTTTCATACCCACAAAAGCCACTTCAGGTCATTTTTAGGCATACTTCTTGGTTAAATATTGATATTTATGAGGTTGCATTGATAGAAACAAGAATATCTAGATATCTTTATAGAAAGAGGAATGCAAACTAGGATAGGATAGGATAGGATAGGATAGAACAGAACAGAAAAGAACAGAGTAGTTCCATTGGAAGAGACCTTCAGCAATCATCTACCCGACTGCTTGACTACTTTAGGCCTGACCAAAATTTATGTCATGTTATTAAGGGCATTGTCCAATGTCTTTTAAACTCTGACAGGCATGGGGCATTGACCACCTCTCTAGGAAGCCTGTTCCAGTGTTTGGCCACTCTCTCGGTAAAGAAATGCTTATCCCAATATCAAGTCTGAACCTCTGCTGACACAGTTTTGAACCATTCCCATGTGTCCTATCAGTTGATACCAGGGAGAAGAGATCAGCAACTACTCCAGCAACTTCGTTAAAAACTTTTTGAAAATCCCTGAGTAATTCCTTGAAGCAACTCTGCAACATGCAAAAGAAAAGGAAAAAACTTTGGGATAACAAAAAAGCTTCCATGTGACTTTGGTATTTGTTAAAAAAGTAATTAATAAAAATCCAACTGAAAAAACCAATTTCCTTCTATACCACATAATCATTCTTTCCTCATTGATAAGAGTATATATTATATTTTTAGTTTATTCTAAGCATACATGTGTCTGCTCGTGTGGAAAACACCATTACTTTATGGGTTAAAAGTACAGTATAAAGACAGCTTTCTGATCTGAGATTTCACACATCTTTCTTTTAATTAAATTGAAAATTCCCTCAGTTCCATAAGACATTAATTTATTCTAATGAATTAGTATTCACATAATTTAGTTCCCATTCCTGGAAAATTCTGAATAATGTAACAACAAATGTTATGGGTTTCTGAAATTCTTTTTGCTTCAGAAAATAAAAAATAAGGAATTTACTTCATTCTGTAGAATTCCCAGAAAGGCATGGGTCTAAATTATTTGCCTGTTGGCTTCACCAGACTTAAACCAGCTATATCTGGCTCACCAAATGAGAAAAAATGGAATTAAAACATGGTTTAGATTTATTTATAAAGGGCATCAGTAATATTACCCCTGTTAAATTATTTTTCTTTTCCTGTAAAGAAACATTTAACAACTTATAACTGACATTGCCTGGGATTTCATAATATTCTGCCAGTCAAGTACCTTATGCTCTTTGTTCTCGAGTCCATGTTGTTTTGTTTGCATGCTGTATATATTGCTCACTATGACATCTCCTTTGAAGGTCAGTCAGTGCTGTAGAAGAAATCCCTGGTGGGACTCAGAAGAACAGCAGACAGAACCTGCTAAGTTTAGGTTCCACCTTCTCTGTGTCTACAAAGGACTACACAGCAGCTGCTGCACCACAGAAATGTTTGTTCCACAGGAAGGAAAAGGTGACTAATAAAAACCATATAAGCTGATTTCTAAATATAAATATCACTAAAGAGAAACCTCTCATCGAGTTGTCGTTTGCCAGTGACGTGCGTATTAGCTACTGAGTCATCTTACTAGATGAGTATTCTTAATTCACAGACTCCAAATTAGGCATGATCCAGTTGTGATAACACGTAACTGAAGGCAGTGAAAGCTCTTGTCCACAGAGACTAAGAAAAAGCTACAGTCGAACTGTCTCTGCCCTACCTGTGTGATTTCTGCAAGCATCAGACACTGTATGGACTGTTTTCATCAACCACTTTGACAGGAACTTCAGAGCATCAAAAACGTTTATAGAGAGACTGAACCCAGACCCTTGCTGGTCAACGGTGCTCAAAGGATTAAAGTTTTTTTTACAGCGTATGCCTGGACAGAAAGCATAGGCTAGCAGTGAGTGTGCCAAACCAATTGTTCACCGAAGGGTCTAGTTCTAGTTGCTGATTTGTTGTAGGACTCTGCTAGATGGGAAGGATATTGTTTCTTTGGCAGTTGGATCACAAAAATCCAGAAATAACTGAATCACAGAAAACTCCATGCTGCTGCTGCCCATGGAGTTTTCTGCTGTGGAAGTAGAAAGGACAGGCTTCAGGCTGCTAAGTCCTTTCACCTGTGCCCAGTTCACAAGCTCAAGACTGACCAGTGGCATAATTTTGATCATGACTTCCAGTTAGATACTTTGGGAAATTATCTTTTTATATATAAATTTAGTTTTCAATTCTGTTAATATGATTTTTGCTGGGACAATAATTAATTTCCTCAGAAGTCCAGCAATTGTTACAACAAAGTGCTAGTCCCTTTTCATATGTGATACAAAACTGCACTGTCTGTTGGCAGGACAATACTAGTTTTATGAAACAAACCGTAAATTTTCTCAAAAAAAGATCTAAATGGGTCAAGCAACTAAGTCACGGAGAATGGTTGGAAGGATCCACATCTTGCCACTTGCATACATTTAGTTATTTCTGCCTGCTTCAAGGTTCTATGAGCATAGATGAACCTGAAAAAAACCCCAATATGCAAAATTCCTTGAGGTGGATGCTCAGCAAAAGAAGCATCTTGAGCTGTTGAAGTTTGTTGAACTTAAAGCAAAAGAATAAAATGTCTGCTAATAAGAAATATCAGTCAGCCTTCATTACAGGGAAGAAAACAGCTCTGCATTTTAGTCTGGTTCCCCATGGAAGCTAGGCTTATGAAATCACAGTGGTGTGTGCGTGTCTGTCCTCATAGTAACTTGGGAATCAAATGGGAAAAGGTCTCAGAAGGAATTAAGAATTCTGTAAGCGTCATTAAAACAGGTGTCTTGCAAAGGAAATAGATCTTGGTTAAGTGCCTTTACAGAAGAAAAGACTTTGGCATGAGCTTGCCCCTAATTAGACCCCAGAGAGTCCACACAGGAGAGACCCTAAACAGAGAGAAGTCTTCAATCAGCATTTGCACTTTATTAGACACTGAAGTCAATTAGCTACAGCATAGATATCAACAGAAATGGGTTTCATTGGTACTGGTGTTTGGGATCTTCTTTACATTAAAGAGACATTTATTAAATTTCTAAATTGTCTCCTTACAGTTTTCAGGTCCAGAATTTATTATTTTGTCTAGTGAACCACCCGTGACCTTACAGCTGCCTGGATCAATTGTGGTAAGTAAGAACATTAAGAATTTAGAACCAATCTAGTGACCTTTTAGTTGGGGCTCTTTGTAAATTGCATCTGAGTCCCAACCCATTATCCTTGCCATGTCCTCCTCCCAAACCAAGTTGGTGTTTCTGCAGAGGTATTGAAACTTGAAAGGAGGTCATTTAATTCTCAGTGCTACGTAGTTAATTCTGTTGGTGTGAAAATAGCTTAATTTATCCTTCTCAGCTAAGAATGCTCACTTTAGCACAAGACTTTGAGACGAAGATTACACAGCAAATATGCAATGTGACATCTAGTGCCAATGTATTGGACTCCGGTTTGAGGCACATCCTCTACCTTTCATTAAGATAGGTAAAAGGCTGACAGCAGTAAAAATGAGGGCAAAGAAAATTTGGAATTACCCTCAAGTCCAGAATAACCCTGGTCATTGTAGAATCTGAGTATGCTCAGTTGTTTCCTGGGGATTTCCTGTTTCTTTTTTTTAAATTAGAAATGTTTGGGGTATTAATTTATGAGAAGGAAGGCAGGGAATAGCATAGTGTTGTGACCAATTCCATCATATTCTGTAGAGACAGGAGGCTAGGGGGCCTCAGTAATAAAATGCTGTGGAACTTGCATCGCTTGTACTTGGCACTCATTCTTCAACTCTTTGTTGCATGTTCTTAGACTAAAAAAGGGAAATCCTATTTGTCCCAAAGGGATCTCAATGTGATTCTACTCAACGGGCAGTGCCTTGAGGTGCAATGTGACGTCAAGTCCAAGGCAAGAGATGTTTTCAACACCGTGGTGGCATATGCAAACTTGGTGGAACATTTCTACTTTGGCTTGGCTTACCTGAAAGGTAATGAGACGCAGCTAGCTACATTAACAGTTCTCTTCCTCGGTGCCTCTGTAGTCACTTTATTAATGAATTCCACCAAGATCATTTAAGGTCGTCAGAAGAAAGCAGGCCCAAAGCTTAAGCAAAAGTAAGGTATGTTGGTTTAAACTGTACTGCACTGATGTAAACCATGTCTACCCTAGGACCATGCATCAACACAGCCATACCGTTACTGGCTGATATTCCCATGCAGAAAATGCTGTGTCCCAGCCTTGCACAGGAATAATACTGTGCTCCAGCAGAAATTCCAGGAAGCACTGTCTTGAGGATGGCTGACTGTCTTTGTTCCCAGATATAAATTGGAGTACAGGCTCAGCTATTTTATCTACAAGACCCACATCTCCCTAGCCCATTTCTGATGGCAAGCACAGCTGAGGCACTAGGAAGAAGCACACCTTATGTGGGGGCATGAGGATTATAATGGGGTGCAGAACCTGAATGGTGAGCAGAATGCAAGCCCCATCAATTCTTGAGTGATTCCATAGATACCATACCCATCCAGCATCTCACAATGGCAATCCTATATTACACACTAAGTGTTATCCTAAGCTCTCCATCAAAGAAGCAGCAAGTTAAGCCATGACAGGGAGAAGTAAATCTTAACTGACATAGCAATATTTTTTATTGCTAGTGATGCACTGAATGAAGACAGCAGATCTTTGAGCTACTGAAATATGTCCAGACTTATCACAGAAACCAAAATTCACATTTCAGGTAAAGAATTCTTCTTTTTGGATGAGGAGACCAAACTCTACAAAGTGGCCCCAGATGGCTGGAATGACCAACCTAATTCTTTGTCAACCACTTTAATGTTATCCAGTAAGTGCATGCTTCTGCTGACTGCAGGAAAACCACTAGCATTTAGAGTGACTGTTCAAGGCTCCTCCTGTCTTCCTAAACCCTTTTCTGTTCTAGGCATGGCTTGACAAGGCACCAGTTTTACCTGCAGCTTCGTAAAGATATTTTGGAGGAACGATTATATTGCAACGATGAGACAGCTCTGAAACTCGGCGCTTTGGCTTTACAGGCAGAGCTTGGCAATTATGCTTCTGAGGTGTGGATAAATAATACAATATTTCTCAGAGGTCCCTCTCAACAACTTTTGCAGCTTTTGTTTGTCACAGAGTTTAAAGAAGAAATGTGAATAGCACACAACTTCAGCTAAGTCCTTGAGTAATCACATTTCAGATTTAATTTAAAAAATTACAAAATTTTCCTGATTAAGGAGCAGTAATGAGCCAGGCAAATTTGGCAGGAAATATAGCAGAATGATGATAACTTCATAACTGATAGCATAGCCAAGAAACTCCAGAAAATCTGTAGAAAATTTCCAACATAGGCACAGCTTGGATGTGCAGAGGGGCTTAAAGAGATTAGAAAACATGGAAGCGAAAAATAAATAAACACTCCAGAACTCACAGCTATTTTGTGTGTAGGCTCTGACCCACAAGCTGCAAAGACAGGAAGGTCACTGATGGTATGGATCTGAACTAGTTATCCTGGTTTTGAAGTGTACAAAAAATACCCATTTATGTTCTCTGCCATATCTTCAGTTATATACATCAGTGTAGCTCTATTAATTGAACTCTGAGCGGTCTGATCCATCTGGTTGGATCCATCTCAACACTGGGTCACCCACTGTAGGTTGCACTGATGCGGCTGTAGCTGTCAGCTCTAAGTGCAAGACTGCAGGCGTGCCTGTAGGCCCAGCTCTTTTCTCCCCTCTGCACAGAGAAGTCGTGTGTGCACAGGTGCTCAAAGGCATATTTGGCTGTCAGGACACTACCTGCTGTTCCCCATCTTCTTTTAGGAAATGGCAGGGTGACTTCAACATACAGGTCACCCTGAAAATGGAAACACACCAAATAAGAAAACTCAAGAAATAACAAAAGAATCCTCTCTCTCTTTTTTTTTTTTCTTTTTTTTTTTTTTAAATTTCTTTCTCCCAAAGATGCATGGAAAGAACTATTTTCGTGTTGAAGACTACATTCCAGCAAGCCGAATAGAGAAAATGACCCTGGCATATGTACAGCGAGAGCTTGCTAAATTACATCGTATGAATCGTTCCCTATTTGAGGATGAAGCTGAACTAGAATTTTTAAAGGTAACTTGCCATATCCCCAAAATTATTTATTTATTTTGAGATAAAAAGCCCCTCTCTATTTACCATTGTCTATTATTTCCTTCTTGCCTGATACAGTAGATTTTATATAAGGTGAAGAAATTTGAGTAGTCAACAAAACACTCAGAATTTCATTCTGCTGTAAATACTGTCATTCTGAATAACCTATGTCACATTTATGTGGTTGGTTTCCTTTCACTGATAGTTTATAAAGGGTTAATGCACATTTCAGGGTATTTTCAACATCCTAAGGGTTGATGCAAATTTTCAGCATGTTACTGAGATGTCTGGGTTCCAGATGATTATAAGTACACCTACTGAATGTATTAGAGATGATGAGAACATAGGAATAAGCACTTTCTTGACTTCTGAAACTGTAGCAGCTGTTCAGCCACTTTCTAAACACGTAGTGATTATTTGTTTAAAAATACCTGTGAACCCTGGAAGTGAGGAAAGAGTTAGCTGAAGTATTCTCACATGACTATTTCTCTAGGGATCTAGGGTGTCATGATAACATGGGATCTAATATTTTCCCCCTAGTTTCTCCTTCTCCCCCAAACTTCTCTGCTTTCCGTCAAATGAAAAATATGAGGCATTAGATAATGGATAAATATCGTTCGCCATTTTGCTGCAGTGCCACATGCTTTTATTTATAGCATCATTTTTGTTCAGTTGCTGTTTAATTATGTTAGTTCCCCATCTAACACTGTCAGTGAAATTGAAGAAATAGATTGAAGCTTAGCCTTAATGACAGTCCCATCATGCGTGGCAAATCCAATGAAGAAAAGCAGCTTTGTTAGTATCTGTTTCAATGAATAAGTCTGTAGAAGGAGTCAACACATCATACAAAATGAGAAAGATAGCCCCCATGGCAAGAACATGCAAATTCCAAATATGAAAGGGATTAAAAATTAAAATGCAGATTCAGCTAGTGATTATAGATGCCCCAGTTTTCAGGACCTGAACGTTGCTGCTCTGGATTCTTTCTTAAAAAACAGATCTTAAAGTGTTTTATTTTGGTCACTGAAAATTTCTATTAATGATTGAAAGTCATTTGGGGATTCTACATTAGTTTCCAAGGAAAATGAGTTTTAGAATAAACTCATACTGATCTGCAGATACCTAAAGAGGATGGAAAACCCTCCTCATATTCCATAGTTCTGTAAAGGGCCTGAATCACATTTTAACAATTTGTGGCCAAGTACAGGAGGTAGAAAGACAAGCAAGAACACCCCAGACCTCTGGGTGAGTTCCTCAGAGTGTCCTCTGCACACTTAGGTGACAGAGGCAGAAGCTGGCTCCTCAGTGCCTTGAGGAGCTATTTAACTGCACCCAGCAATGAGCCCTGTGCAAGAAAGAAGCAACACTGGAGATCTGTTACTATAAAGTCTGGCACTGAAGGGAATTCTGGGGCAGTGAAATTTCTTCAAAAGTCACCACTATATTTAGGCAAGATGATACTTTGAGGTACAATTTAGCAAACCCTAGAGCTTAAGATTCTTGGCTAGAACTAGAACTTAGAACCCTAGAATTTAAGATTTATAATGTCTATTTCTAAAAGACATAGCCATGAAGGAATGGGTGTATGTACCTGAGTCAGTTCATTGCAGGCTGGGAGCTGTGGTGTTGCTGCAGTTAAGACTTCTAGTTGGTCATCACTATTGTAGGAAGGAAACCACACAAACCCATCACAATGTCTGAGTAGCCCTGGCACCAAACTATTAGCAGTTTTACTAAGATCATCATATTTGCTGTACCTTGTGGTTTCTGGGTTTGCTCAGGGAAACAAAGACACAGAAAATAAAATGGAAAGAAACAAGGTCTAACAGTAGGCAAGCAGCATTAATCCTGTGTGGGTTTGTATTCAGAAATGCATGCAAGTGCCAAGCAGCAGTAATGCTGAGTCCCTCAGTGCCACTGTAGTATTTAGATTATTGTGCAGGAAGCTACATAATCCTCCTGCCTCTTCAAATGAGGTGTGGGGGAAAGTACTATTTCAGTTTTACACATGGAAAATGAATGCATGTAATGGCTTTTTGACATACCAAAGGTAATGATTCTGTGAGGCAGTACATATGAAAATTTGGTAAGAGCTTTCAAACATTTCTTGACAGAGTGAAAGAGTATTCAGTAAAGGCACACAAAACCATTTGCCCTTCCATCTACCTACCTTTTCTCCCCGTGCCTTTGAATAATTCATGCTAAATGTACTTTTTCTCTACAAGGTGACTCAGCAACTTCCTGAATATGGAGTGTTATTCTATCATGTGTCCCAAGAGAAGAAAGGAACAGGAGGGGACATCATCTTGGGAATCTGTGCCAAAGGCATCATTGTGTATGAGGTCAAAAATCACACAAGAATTGCCAGTTTAAGATTCCAGTGGCGTGAAACAGAAAGAATTTCAGCTCATGTGAGTTGGAACCAAGTGAATCTCTTCTCCACTCTATTACTTTACTCCCCTTCTGCCTGTCACTTTGATAAATTTATTGCATTCAGAGCCAGGATTATACTCATTCTGTACAGGCAAGTCCTTTCTGAAAACAGTCTAAAATCAAGGCTGGATCTGGATGTGGATCCCAAGATACTCAGTTCTTAGTGAGGTTTAGTTCTGGAGTTTTTTGCCAAGGCTGGAGTCAAATTACTATAAAACTGAATAATCTGGTGTTGACTATTACAGAGACTATGTCAAACCTCTTTATGGCATATTGCATATTCATTCCTCTCTCATCTTTACTTCTCTCTCCCTTTTCTTTTGTTTTCCTTCCTACAACAGGTTATGGGATCACATCCCCCTCTTTGCAGATCTTATTATTACCATCCTCATCTCTTAGTATATTGCCATCTGTTAACAAACCAGTATTGGTGACAAGATTGTGATCCCTTCTAAATGGTATTCTGCCATCAGAAACATATCAACCTACCATCTTAGTGTAGATGTCTACCTACATCACACATTTCCCAGCCTGTTTGCTCTCCCAAAATGGCCCTTATGCCTCTTGAAGATATTTTCATTTTTGCATTAAATTGGTTTAATCATTTTAACATCTGTAGGGCCAAATTTTACCACTTCTATCAACCTGCTCCCAGTGTAGTCAATGCCCAATGGCTCTTGAATTTTCACATAGGGCAGTTATGATCCCAAAGACAGACACCTCATTAACATTGAGTTTACAACAGGCATTTACTGTACCCAAAAGGCATGCAGCCAAGCATAAATACAACTGGATAAACCAACAAGATTATACAAATGAACTTTCAATGCCCCAGAGTAATGACTGATATGTGAAGCAAGCTGTGCCTTTTTTTTTTTCCCTTTAGAGAAAAAAATTCATGATCGAAAGCAGCTTCAGTGGCAAGAAACACACCTTCATTACAGATACAGCAAAGACATGTAAATATCTACTGGACCTCTGCTCTGCCCAGCACAAATTCAATGCACAGATGAATTCTAGGCAACTTCGGCAAACTTCATCAGGTGAGGTATAAATGCACTTTCATGATTCAAGCTGTAGGACGAGGTTAGGTTTTAGGAAAGGTGCATTCCACGAAGCTGAGAATCAGAACCTGCCACATCAGTTTCATTGTGCTTCAGTTTCTCATCTGCAGAGCAGAAAATAGTGTCTCCTACTTCACTGGAAGTTAGAGGTGTGTAAGTCTAACTTAGCATGTGCAAGTGAGTGTGTGTGTGTGCAGGGGGTGGAGAGGGTTCTCTGATTATAATAACTACATAGCCAAACTCAGATTTGAAAGGAAGCATGATTACACTTCCCTTCAGGAAAACTGCTGAGAATTCTGAAGAAACATATCGGGCTTACCCCAGGTGTAAGCTGATAATGTTCCACACAAAGAATAACTATAGTAGTGCCCAAATATGCTGGAGCTGAATTTAGTTAACTGGTTATCTTTGCATAAGACAGGGGTTCAACCCTATGGTTCAGTCCCACAACAAAACCACCAAACCAAAAGCATATCAGTTACACCCACTCAACTATGTAGCTGTAGGTTTTGCCATGTCTGTAGAAGGTATGACTGTTACCTCCTTAAATTTCAGATTTTCCATAGTTTCTAAGACAAGGTTCTGCTCAACCCAGTCCAGTTACATAGCACTTCTCACCCATGGTTCTCAGCATGGTCTCTAAAGATGGGCAAGGATTATTATGGGGAAACTGAGGCACATAAGAAATAACAGCCTAAGCTGACAACTGTCATCACTGTTGTCTTCAGTGGAGCAACATGGATTTTTACTAGCTGAGAACTCATAGGTTCCTTTGTCCTTTGCCCTGAACAGAATCGCCATCATTTACAACTACTGAATATTTGACCCAGTGAGTCATAGCAGGAGAATGAAGTGTTGTGCCTTATCTGCTGGGATGTTCCTTCCTCTAGTAAAACTGTAAAAGTGTTGGCAATGAAATCATATCACGGGATATAACAGGACAATTGACATATTGCTTCTTTCCCACTAAAATTATTTCATGAGAAGTGAAATTCATTACCACAGAAAAAGGCGCTAGGATGATATTTAGGCTCAAGGCACCTTTTGTTGCTTAGGCTCCTGTAGCTTCAAACATAACTTAATGGGACTGTGATTTGGAGCATAAAATGAGTTGTAATAGTGAATCTTAAAGTTTCCTGCATCACATTTGCTTGTGGTAATATTTCTTAATAAAAATTACTACATTCTATATATGAGAACAAAATATTGAGAGCTAAGAAAATTATAACCCAGGTCCTGATTACAAGCACCTCAAATAACAGAAGCCAGCCGGACTTACACAAGCTGTGTGACTGCAGTTTCTGAGGTTCAGTGTGTGCTTGCTGTCCCAGAAAAAAAGGCTTTGTGAAGGCAATGATAGACAGCAGTTCAAAATGCTGCCTTTGCCACCACAGCGAGACTCTTTCTGCATGAGGGAAACTCTTCCTTCTGCTGCACTGTTCAGATGTGTAAGTCACCACCTCTTCAAAACTTGCTAGCAGCCCCCTACTTTGAAATCACCATGGCAACTCTCAGACTGCACTCATACTGCGGACAGTTAAGCTTTCTGATGCCTTAACAAATGCCCTGGATCAAAGTCACTAAGGAAAGAGGGAGCCTAGGTTTAATACTGCAGAACGGTGTTCTAGAAAGCTGCATTCAGGCTAATATTTGTTAGGAAAACACACAGGAGGTCAGCTGTCACGTACAAGCAGAAATAAAGCCCATATTTGTGCTAGCCTATACCAAGCAGGGTTCTTGTTTTACTTTCTGATATGTCCCCAGTTGCCTGCTCTTCCTCCCTTCTTCAAATCCCCTCTCCAGTCCACCAGTTTAGAACCTAAATAAATTAACATTGCCTCCTCCAGCACTATCTTGTTTTAGAGAACTAAAATCTTTTGAGAGGACAGATTCGTATATAGCATAGCCCAGATGTCATCAAACAAGTAGAAGGTTTCACACAAAGGTGGAAAATTGGATAGCAAACATTGCCACCAAGATGGTCCCCGACTCAAGTTTACTTGTGCAAATCACTCAGAGCAAACAGCCAGCTTCTTGGCCCCTCTCTGAACGCATGTGTAAGTAGAGGTCCTGTCTTCTCAGATGCATGTATATTGGAGCAGTGGGCCTGTGAAGGATGGGAAACTACCAACCTGGCTGTTTCAGTCTCTGACAGACAGACATTTCTCATACACCTTTACAAAATCTTTACAAAACATACATTACAGAGATATTAAGATTTAAATTATACAGGGCTGTACATTTCATCTGTCTTTGTGGAAAGTGAATTCACAGGATAATTCATAGAACCATAGAACTGAAATATAAGTACTTTCTATAAAAGTAATTGATTGGAAACCCTTTCCACTCACACCAAGGCCTAGATATCCTCAAGAACACCAAAAGATATATATCTGCGATGTCTATTTTTTGTAGGCATGTTCAAAAGGTTAGACAGAAAGCAGCTTTGAGCTAAAAAAGATGGGGTAATATCAGCGGATTTATCTTTCCTTCCTCCTCCCCTCTCCTTTCTTATTCAGAAGAAAGTAAATTTATGGAAATAGACAAATCAAATTCTGCATACGCAGCTCCGCGTGAACACCTTGCCCTGATTCAGAGACTGTCTCGTTCAGAGAATGTGCTCTATGGAGCAAATATGGAAAACCTTTCTGCTGGGATGATGAGCAAATCTTGTGATAACCTCAGTGTGGAAACCAGCAACAGGACTAGAGACAAAAGTAATCTTGGCAGGTAGGTTTGCTTTTTCCTCTAAACATGTGTAAGAGTGCTCAGTCACAGAGTATATCATTGCAAACCCCCACGGTAAACTATGAGGCAGACTTTTTTTTTTTTCCATCTCTGTTGTGGTCACACCAAAAGGCCCTGTCAGGTGTGGGGCTCCATGGTGCCAGCAGTAGGTGCAATCAGGCAGGAAGCTAACAGTTTAACAGATAAGAACTTGAAAAAGAGTGACATTTAAATTTGTACGAGACTCAGGAATGAACCACTTACTGGGTTATGGAGAAGGGTAAACATAAGTGAGAATAAAAGTAAAATCTTTAATGTTTGTGTATCTTCTCTGGAAATGGCAGTATGTGGCAGACTGTACAGTGGAAGCGGGTTTTGAGCAGGTCTTACCTAATTGACTCCTCCATGTCTAAAGGTGCAAATCATAGAGAACAAAGAACTTCTCCCTTTTCATTTGCATTGGTACAGCTACCAGTGTAGGCGGTTACTATAGCTGCACACAGTCTCAAGGCCTTTGATGAATTCTAGTGCCTTTTAGAATACTAGGAGTTAGAATAGAGGCAAGAAGAACATGAACTACTAGGAAAACTTTCAGACGTGTCTTTGTCTAAATGGACAGCAGGGCTAAATGAATCATGCTGAGGCTATGCTGTGTTTTCCTGATGCCTGCACTCAGCTCAGAGAAAAACACAGGGGTAAATCAGTCGTGATGTGAGTGGTCTAATGGCAACTGTTATTTGGAAGCAAATGCTGGCAAGGATGAACTACCTCTTCCCTACAATGAAATGTGGCCCAGAAATCAGAATACTCGTTGAAAGGCTATAAACATGTCCATTCCTAGCTTGGTGCTGACAGATTAATGACAAAGAAGAGTGCTAAATACCATAGTTGATTTGTTATTCTAATACAGCCTTAATTTCCTGCCATGCAGATCCACATCAGGGCTATCCCAGTCAGAAATGCACATCAATCTGAATGGAAAGCAAAGGAGTTACGACTATCTTTCTATCCACTCAGCTCAGAACACAATCAGTGGTGAGTATAATAATCATAAAGGGAGATGGTACCCTTCTGTATTTATTGTTTCTATAGCAGGAGACCAAAATATATTCTACTTACAGATTATAGAATATCCTTTTGCACTTCTAGTCCTAGGAAGTAACCCAGAGTTTAGCAAGACAAGTGGTTTTCTTCCCTTTCACTCCTGCTTTCCATCAGGATCAGTGGTAATGGACTTCATGATAAAATTGTCCTATCAATTCTGCCTAAAGTCTTTAGAGACATAGTTCAGTACGCCCAGGACTCTCGCATGGGGTAATATCCCTATACTCAGAGGTCATAATTTGGTTTGCAGTTGAGTTGAGATCTACAACTCAATAAATAACACATGAGACAACATAGGCTCCAGGTCCTTCCTCTGTTTTTGCATTTGTATGACACTAACTGGAATAGGAAGAACTGGACACCTAATTTTCTAACAGAAGCCATATTGCATGCACATAGCAAGCTGATCTATGGAATATGAAGCTATGATTATTTGGTTAGTCCATTTTAAAATTAGAACTGTACTTTAAACACACTGTGGTAATTGCTTTTGTAGTGTTAACACTACAAGTCGTCACCACAATCAGTGCTGAGTGGATTGCACCTACAGAGCCAAAAGGGCCAACGGGGCCAAAGGCTAGAATTCCGAAGGAACCTATAGGAGATTTTGCACCCAAACCTCCTCAGTGTTCAATGGGAACTACATGCCTGACTCTTTAGATGTCCTAATCTTAATAAAAATGTTGCAGATAAATGTGTACTCTCCCAGAAATGAACATTATAGGAAGAGCTATAGTACACAGCTACTGTACATACAGTTTTCTACAGAATGCAATTTTCCAAACACTGTTTTGAGTTTCGTTCCTGCATTATATTGATTCAGAAGTAATGGTAATGTTGAGGAAAAGGGTAAAATATATTTTTAATTTTTGAAGCCCCAGTTTTGCATACTATATGAATCTACTGTCTCCCTGCATTAATCTGCATTTATTCTAGCTGTTTTGTTTCTGCAGCACCTGGATCACCAGCCATCCAAAAGGAAGTTTTGCTAAGTGGTCTAGAAAGAGAAATAATTTGTGTCAGCCTAAAACGTGACCTTAAGAACGGATTTGGTAAGTAAGGAACAGAAATGTTTTTGTTACTGGGACTGTCAGATCCTGGTGCTAACACTGATACTTGCTGATTCAAGCTGAGCAAGACTGCAAGCTTCTTCACCTCATTTATTCTTCTTATGGAATAAGACTACCAATCTTTGTTGAAGGACTTAGAATTTCCAAGCGCAAAAAGGACTAAGTGCATAAATCAAGACCACAGTTTTTTTCAGAGGATTAACTAAGGCCACAGAAGTCCAGGGGCCAAGTGTTAACAGTAGAATGAAAGGAACAAGGGTTTAGTTTTGTCACTGAAATATGTGCACCGTGCTTTTATTTATCTTAGACCTTACACAGGGGGAGATAGTGTTCCGCAAACCTTTCAGGTATTGCCTGTGGGGGGTGTAAAATACATACACAACCTCAACACGAATGTTTCCTGACTTTTGGATTTTTATTCGGATACCATTTCTGTTATATAATACACTCTCACACTGCATCCTGTTCTTGTGGATGAGTTCAGAGGTCCATCAGGTTTCACAGCTGATACAATTAAACATCAAATTTCTAAATGGTGCAGGTCTGTGTGGAATATCCTCATCCCAAACCCAACTATTCTACCAGTGAGAAGAATAAATTCTGCAATAGGCAGAATATTCTGAACTAGGATAGTGAAATTGAACTATTTGACAATAGATTTCATTTTCTTAGCTATCTCTTACATATCCATTAGAAGTTTACATGGCCCACCTCCAGGGCCCTAGACTGCATGATGTAGAACAACATTCAAATTTATCTAATGAGCTTTTAAACTATTTTCCTCCTGCAGGTGTTAAATACTAAGGTCCACATAGTTTATGACTCTTGTAAGAAAGTAGTTGGAATCTTTAAAAGCTCAAAGCCAGGAAAGTATTCTTACTGAGAAATTATATTTTAATAGCCACCGAAGTCAACAGCATAGTTTAATTATAACCTGAGTTTAAAGCTCTCCCAAGACCTTGATGCCATGTAAATCACAGCTCCCCATTCTCCATACCATGTATAACATTTATGCCATTGGAGTGAGAGCCTTTTGTGCTCCTAAGGTTCATGTTTTCTAATACTGCCAGTGTCTCTGCTATCTCATTTTTGCAGGTTTTGTAATTATTGGAGGAGAAAACGTAGGAAAATTAGACCTCGGTATCTTTATCGCTTCAATTATCCCTGGGGGACCTGCAGACAGAGCTGGAAATATCAAACCAGGTCATTGTCCTTAGTTTTTAATTAGAATTAAAATACTTTCATCGTTTAAAGTTAGCTATTCTCAATTTATTTCCTTATTTAGATGTGCTTTTTCTTGTTTTTATCCTTTTTTTTTTAAGGAGGACGACTCATCTCGGTCAATAATATTAGTCTTGAGGGCGTTTCATTTAATACTGCAGTTAAAATCATACAGAATTCTCCCGATGAAGTGGAGCTCATCATCTCTCAACCCAAAGGTATAAAGGCAAATGCCTTTGCTGGCTATGGAATGCTGATAGGTAACTCAAGACACTGGTATTTACTAGGCACTGGGATGTAGTAGTTCTTCCTTGCTGCTCAGTGCCTGTTACAATTACCATAGGCTAGCAGTAAAAATAGTCAACTTCTAGTAGGTATCATGTGATCTCTGTTCTACAGTCAGTGTGACAAAATCTATTATGGGCTGCATTGCTGAATACCAAGGGAATTTTGGCATTTCTTCCTCTGGTAGTCATAGTCCTCTGCAATGATGAAGCGAACACATTTCTCCACACTTAGAATAGCAGTGCTCCACTTCACAATGACTGACTGATTTTATAGATCTGATTTCACAACCAGTTGATGTAGGAAGTTACTTTGTCCTCCTGTGCTGAGGGATAATAATATTTGCCTTCAAGTTTACTTACTGTTTGCATTCAGTGATGTTTTATTTTGGTATGGCTTTACAGACATGTATGAAGAAGGATTAAATGAAGAAAAGAATCTATCAAGAGGCAACAGCACTAGTGGATCTGAGATCTCTTGTGTAGACAGTGGGAGAAAAAAGATTCGGGATTGTCATACAGCTCTCCCCAAAGGACAGGACATAAATATAGATGACCTTGAGAAGGCTCTTTCCTGGAGTTTAGCACCAAAATTGGGCCCTAGGATTCCAGTTCCTTCAGCTGATAGCCTGGATGTGGAGGTAACTGAGATTTTGACGTTATTCAATAATATTATCCCCGGCATATGTCTTAACATGTCTGCTACATTAAGAATGGAAAGTAACAGAGAAATTAAAAAAAAAATGAGGAAAGGAGAAAGAAAACCTTGGAAGATATTGCTTGTTAAATTACATTGGAAATGTCAAAATGGTAGACATGTCTGGGATATGTGAAACAATGGGAAAACGTTCCACAAAATGTTATTAAAAATGTTCCTCCCTTTTCCAGTGGAGGTACAAAATTTTGATTATTTTCTTGCAATCTCCTAAGTTTTCAACCAGACATAGAACAGCAACATTTTTTGTCTAATTTCCTTCCATTAGACAGGCCTTCTATCTATGTTCAGTTTACACACATTTAGACAGATTATATTTTGAGTAACATTAGTGTAAACCTAAAATAATGTCAGGATTATAAATGGTACCGCTCCAGGCTTACAGTGACAGCAGGATCAAACCCTTTATATCTTCTGGAAACTCTCTCCCTTTTTTTTTTTCTTCCTTTTCCCCCCTTTTTCATTGAGAAGCTGTAGTCTCATTAGTGTTTATATTTTTGAGACAGGAAGATGATTCTTTGCACTTACCATCTCCATCTGAAACCATCTCAAAGGAAATCTATACTGTGGAGCTTGTTAAAGAAGATGGGACTTTTGGAATCAGCGTGACTGCAAGTGTTACTGTTAATCTTTCAGTGTGTCTGTCAAACTGTTAGACGACCGAGAAACAGATAGAGAAATGTATTTGTCTGGAACAAAGATAGAAAATAGGCTGATAACAAAAACCGTTAGCATGTCATGTTTCAAACCTAAGTGTCTGAGTGATTGACAGAGAAAGTATAAACTACTGGCTCTATTCTTGCCCATAGAATCTGTGAAAGAAATGTGCCACTATAAAGCATGTGGCAGTTGAAGCCCTTTTCATCCTTACTCAGGTTGAGAACAAGACCTACCACTGAAAGTGAATTTGGTCAGGGAGGGATATAGCTAGAGCCTCTAGAAAATGCTGTGATGCAAAGAATTCCCCAAGTCATGACTGGTTTTGCTGCTCCCTGGAGCTCCTGGAACTCAAAGGCTGTGTCTGTACAAGCAGATTCCACGGGACCATGGCATGGGCTCAGGCAGTGGCCCGCAGGCACTGTTTAATTGCTGACAGCCCCTGATACAGCTTTGGCCTGTGCTTCAACACGCAGTATAAGAGAAGCCATCCCATGCTGGGGGGCTGAAAGTTTAGCTGTATGGACTCAAGATAGACCATGCTTCTTACTCTGAAGGCCAGAGAAAGGGCCCTAGCCAATTTTATTGCCTATATGAGGAATTACAGTTCTCCATATATTTAGAGGACCAGAGAAGACAGCAGTAAAAACTATCTATCTGCAACATTTGAATAATAATTCCTTGTCCTGGCTATCAAAGTTGAATTTACCCCTCCAGGCCGAGATGTCTTTACAGTCCTTGCTGAAATGGAGTGGGAAGCAACAGCCATTTCATTGCCTGAAGAAGAAATCAAGGGCTGCTTTTTCATCTCAATTTGGCCAAGGGATGTAGATGGACAGAACATGATTCTTAGGTTAATCTGGAATTCCTCTGAGCCTTAGGCTCTCAAGTTCAGGTCCATGTTTTATATATTGTCTGAAAGGTTAATAATTGCTGAATGGATATTGCACAGTTTGGAAGCTGGGCTAGAGACTGACTGAAAGATGTAACCCCATCTTTATGTTAGCATAGGGAAAAAATTATGAACATTTAGTAAATGTTTTTATATAGCCACATAGAAATGCATTGCATTTTCCTGAGAAAATAAGACAAGATTACTGCCTAGAGAAGTATATTACAACTGGATGGCACTTTGGAGTAACAACCTCTTTCCTTTTTTTCCCTATTTTTTAAAAAATGTAATCCCTGAAGCAGTTGCTTTGCAATGCATGTGTAAATTGCTTAGATTTTTATCACAGGAAAAACATGTGAAGACTCTACTCTAATCTGTGGGCATCTGTTTTGCAGGGTGGAATTAACACTAGCGTGCGTCACGGTGGGATATACGTGAAGTCAATTATTCCCAGGGGACCAGCAGATAAGGATGGCCAAATAAAGATAGGTAACACATCTGGCAATAAAACCCTGGGCTGCAGAACTCAATGTTAGTGTGGAATGCTTGCCTCAGGGACAATGAAACACATCTGGGATTGGAAGTCATACAACTGTGAAATTCAATACGCAGTCCATCATTCCTCAGCTTGTCCCCATACTATGTGTAGATATCCCACTGAAAAAACAGGAGCCTCATACTGACATTGTACAGTTACTACCTGTAGTAGGCTATCATCAGGCCTGTGACTCTGAAATCTACCTTCAGTGTTGCTGTGATAACCAGATACTGTCACTGCATTTACTTACAGAATACCCTGGTATGTTTTAAGTGGTAGTTATAGAACACTGTGCAGCAAACATTATTGCTTTCATACAAAGTAACAAAATTTGACCCATATAAGCATGTGTGTGTTAAGATCAATTGCACCATGCGTAGCCTCAAGGTTTACGCCCATTGATCCTGAACATCAAAGCAACCTTACCGTTTTTTTTGTTTGTTTGGTTTTTTGTTTTCTTTTGCTTCAGGTGATCGCCTGCTGGAAGTAGATGGCATCAGCCTCTGCGGCATCACCCACAAACAGGCTGTGGAACACCTCAAGAACTCTGGCCAGGTTTGTGCAACAGCAGAGCTCAATAAGATACCAAGTAGAATAAACTGCACTTAGTATGAAGCACAGCAGCAAAGCTGGGCCAAAAGAAACTTCCCCACCCCATCCAACCCCATTCTCCAAAAAAGAAAAGTAAAAAGACTTAAGGCTCACTGTGTACTGTGTAACTGGAACCTGTTCATTGTCATTTTAGATTGCCAAGCTGGTTCTAGAAAGAGGAAACTACCAGCTGGCAGAGCCATGCCTGACTGCCAATGACGGAAAACAGGACCAATGTGCAGTTGTTTCTGTGGCAACATCCATCACAGATGGTACCAAGGACTACTGCTTTTGGACAGATGGTGAGAGATAAAAAAGGAACTCAGGGTGACTTCTTACAACATGCAAGAAAGGAATGAATGAAAATAATTCTATGAAGTTTCTGTGGCTGGGAAGGAAAACTGCATACTGAATAGAAATATAATGTGCAGTATAAATGGCATTATCAAAAACCAATTCTGAACAAAATATTTCTGATGTAGCGTTACAGTTGCTAGATATAGCTGAATTTATCCTAGGCATAAATACTCTATCTCTCAGCCTTCATGAGAAGGGGCTGGCAGGGGATGTCCCTCTCTGTACTCCACAGCACTCTCAGGCAGGAAGCAGCCTCTTGCCCAAAGAGAGCACCCCAGCACAATTGCTGATGCTGTGCCAGTGATGGAGCTAGGGTGAGCTGCTGCCCCAGAGCCAGGACCAGAGACTGCTGTAACTTCGTTTCTTAAAAGCAGAAGATTCAGAGATCACAATTCCACTGAATTCAGTCAGTAAATAAATGCTGTATCTTTTACTGTAAGGCTGTCTGATAAGCGCTGTCTGAACCATATTTTCCCATGGGGCAGTTACTCCTCTACATTGTCCCTAGCAGAATGGGGTTCAGCTGCAAGTATGGTATTTGGGAAAGGGCTGGTCTCTTGTTCTTGTCTGGAAAGAGCAGTAGCTCTGATTCTAGCTTATGCTGGTTAGTGCAGGACCCAAACTAACATCAGGCAGCTACAGAATAGTAAGATCTACCCAACCCTTACAGAATAATGTCAGAAAAGGATAGCATTTGAAATTTTTATGTTGGTACAACAGGCTTCTTCCTTTATGGGCTTGTACCAGCATAAAGTCTGTGAAGACACGGTGGAACAGAACCCAGTTCTCCCCATTCAGCCTGTGCAATTTCAAGGGCTTACCTAAGTTAAAGGAACACCAAACCTGTCTTTTGCCATTAGTATCAGTAGATCAACCTCTGCAGAACACAAGGAAAAGGTCTGCTGAGGGTATAATTTACATTAGCTCCTTAGGGGATACATATGCCACAGCTCCCACTCTTCTTCCAATCCCTGCTTTGAACAGATAATACATTTGAAGTCAAATTGACAAAGAATTCTGGAGGCCTCGGCTTTAGCGTTCTGCAAATGGAAGGAGATGCTTGCGAACACCTTGGAGGAGCTATTGTCAGGATCAAAAGACTGTTTCCAGGGCAGCCAGCTGAAGAGAATGGAGAAATTGAAGTTGGAGACATCATTTTAGCTGTGAATGGGAAATCTGTTCAAGGACTCCTGTATCAGGTACCAGGCAGTACTATCACTGGACCTCCTGGTGGGTAACACATTAATAAAGACAATGGGATGAAACTGCATTTCAGCTTAATTATCACCAGAGGGGGTCAGAATTTGCATATAATTAATCTGATTTCTATTTAGGATTCTTCTCTAGAATTCTTATGGACAATTTCCTTCCTAACAGAATTCTTACAGAGAATGTCTTCCACTATTTAATCTATAACTTTCTACTACAGATGCATGAAGTCTACTGTTAGATGCACACCAGTTGTTAGTTGGAATCTTTGTTGCTGTTATGCATAATTAGAACGTTTTTTCCCTGTGGTCATTTGTGCTTTGTAATGTCATGCTAAATACCATGCCCAGATTCAAATCTCTACCAGGTCAGGTAAATCCAGTGTAAGTTTTTTACCTGGAATGAGAAATTCTATACTCACATGAAGAAATTAAATGGTAAAAAAAGAACCACATGTGGATTTATTTTTTTTCATTGTAATCTTTTCACCTTATGGAAATCCCTGAGTTTTGTATATGAATATGCATTGAGTAGATAGGCTTGGTAACAAACAGAAATGATGAAATTATGCAATTTTCCCACTGACAGGTCATTCATAACATTAAATAGCTAGGGCAAAAGACAAGGTGCTGTAAGCCTTAAACACCTGGGGGTGCGGTAATTGTACTTAATTTGGTTTTTTTCTGACCTGGACCCTGTCCTTTTCCACCACCGTCTTGCTCTCTGACATACAGCCTTTTTACTCAGTTTGTGCAGAGGGGGAGACAGGGTGTTTTGGCCTACAGCATTTTTTTTTTTTTTCCTCTAGATTAAGTATTTAAACTCCCACTATAGCTGAAAGCTGAATGCCGCTGAATAGATGTTATGTCAAGGAGGGACTTTAAGAAAGTCTACCATTGGTTATGTCAGTATAGCAGTCTGTGGAGCTATGCTGATATAATTGACTGAAGATGTGTCCCTGCCACATGCAGTTTGAATGCATTTGTCTGAAAATCCCGTTTTCTTCAAGAAATGAAAAAGAATTAATTTAAACCCATGTGACTATTGGTGCAACAAGAGTTTGTAAACAGAACTAACTTTACTTTAGATACACATTCACATAAAAGCTATGGTCCATTTATATGACAATCATACAGCAGTAAATTTTGGCCTCCAGACACTGCTGAGAGGCACAAATGCTAGGAATTCGTCATTCACATTAAAAAATGTCTCCATCCCAGTTGGTAAAATGATGTGTACTATAGACTGTGTTCCATAAGATCCTTCTTCCTGCTTAGGATGTCCTGCACTTGTTGCGAGGAGCTCCTCCAGAAGTCACACTACTACTTTGCAGACCACCAAAAGGTGTTCTTCCAGAAATAGAGCAGAGTGCCCTGGTAAGGAAAAGCTTCTGTCAATAAACTTGCTTCTGTAAACCTGGAAAAACACTGCTACATTTTCTATCCGGTCTTGAACAAGGAAACCTTCCTTTTTCTCCAAGGCCCTCTATTCCATTTCTCTCTCTTCCCAGCTTCACCTCAACCTCTAGAGTTCAGCTGATTCTTCCTTAAAAACCAAAATAATACAAATCTGAGATGTGCACCATGTTTTGAATTGCAGTACTGTCATTGGAGTGAAACAGCACATACCCAAGTAGATCTTCTAGTGATGCTTCTAAAAATGCTCTACTAGATCCTCAGGCAGAAACTGCAGATATTCTCAGCTGCAGCTATTATAACTCATGGGCTTGAGGTAGCTGTATTACTCCCCAAACCAAGAGAAAAATGAAGAACTTTTCTATCCAGGCTACCTCTTATTAACTATAATAAATGAAATAGTGGTTTCAACTGGTTATTCAGCTTCTTATTAATAGTTAGCAAAATCTGCGGGGGCGGGGGAAACAAACAGTAGAGACTGCAGAGACTAAAATGGTGCTGTTAGGTGTGCTAGCATTGTAATTCCTGCTTCTTGAACACAACTCATGGACACATACAGAAGTACTGTTATAATGAACATGCACCTGCATTATTTTTGCTCCATGCAGAATGGCCCACTCACGGCTCCTGTCCCACCACGCTTTATAAGTGCTGTCCTTGGGCAGACAGAAATGACTGTCAGGACCATCTCCAGATAACAAACCGGGTCCTGTTGCTCTCCTGCAATGTGCACTTGGCTGATTTCTGTGGTCAATCACACAGGAGCCAAATCTGGAAGCCACTTCTACACAATGAAGAGAATATAGACATGAAGTTGAGGCATGATATGAAAAGAATAAAAAGGGGCCACCTCTAGCAAATAATTCATTGGGAAAAGTGAACTTATGTAGTAGTTCCCTGGCTGGAACTCCTGAAGAATGTGGAAGATGAGCGTAAAGACAAAAGACTTATTTAGTGACAGAGTACCTCCCTGTATTTTTGCCTTCCCTTTCCGCTACCATTTGATATTGTCACATTCATATGCTTATTGATATTGCCTCTTCAAATTTAAAGGAAAGAAAATGGGAGATAAAAGAGGAGTTAAACTAACCTTTCTGTTATTTTGATAGACTCCAGCACCATCTCCAGTTAAGGAGTTTGTGGCAGAAATGCCAGGCGGTACAGAGGTAGGAAATAATATAGATCAGTCTACCAGTGATGGAGGCAGCACCTCTCCAGACCTTGAAGACTGCCTGGATTCTCCACTGGCAGCAGATTTCAGTGAGCCTCCTGAAGAGGACAGCTCAACTTATGAAGAGCAGGAATCTGAGTTTCAAGAGAAGCCCATACAGAAACTTATGACTCCCAGGGAAAGTTTCTATCAGCGTCTTTGGAGGTTTCATCAGGAAGCTGCCAATTCTGAAGCCTTCCACTCCCTAGAGGAAGAAGTGAAGCAGAACTGCTACTCACCATGTGAATTTGGATGGGCCAAAAGGTAAGGAATATCGAAATCTGCTCTGCAGCCTTTCCTTCAGCTCTTAGAATTTTGAAAGTGAATTGCTTAGGTTTAAGAACAGGGCTAACTCCTAATCACTGCTGATTACTGAAGATTTTTTTTAACCATCTTATTCTGACTATCCTAATCTGCTGTCTCTGTTTACTCTCATCTTATTAGAATTTTACATAAGTCTGCTTTGCAAGAGAGTTGTACAAGTGCTGCACTGATGTAATCATTTATGGCGTTCAGCTGAAGCTGGCTGCAGTTTGAAATATGTGGAAATTGGCAACTCTTGTTGACTTAAACAGGAGTGGAAGACTTTCTTATTTAATATATGATCTTTTAATTTCAGCTTTTTCAGAGTTGACTTAAATAGGCACCAAAAATTTCTTTCTTATTTTATGATCTTTTAATTTCAAATTTTTTCAGAGAAAATAAAAAAACCTCAGAAGACAAAGTGTGAACATGGAGGGGAAAAAAAAGAAAAAGTTATTTTCCAGTCTTCAGAAGCCAATAGAAGCTTTTGGATATCTTTGGGATATACCAGACACTGGCACACAGAGGATGATCCATTCCATTTTAAACATCTTTCCCAGTGCAAAAGAATATAAATTATCAGAACAGAAAGGACTGGTGGAAAGGCAAGTTAAAGGTCTTCTAGAGACCTTTAACTTACAACTTTAGTAATTTTATCTAGAAACTAACTTCTATTTTTCCACACAGTCACTTCAAATCCTTTTGTTGCTCTTGCCATTCATCAAGCACAGAACCAGACAGTCATAGGCTCCAGGCTCTGGGGGTCACAGCACTAGCTGACTGCAAGTCAAGTGGGACCATAACAGCAATTCATAATTTTAGCTCCTCTGTCTCAAGATGAGAGGCTTCACTCACATTCATGAGTGAAGCTCCTGCTTACATACAAGCTTACCTACTGCCGAGAATAAAAGCAGCAGAAATATGTCTGTAGCAAACGTATTTGCCAAGAGATACAGTTTCAGCAAAACTAAGCTTCTTGTGGGAAAATACCAATTCCAAGGAAAGTTTTGGATTCTTCCCAAGAAGGAAGTTCTGAAATAAATGTTTTTGTTTGGTACATTCTTAGTATCATTTAGTTTCAACTTTTGCATTTTCAAAAGGTAGTCAGAGCAGTTTAAGACTGCATACATTTTAAACAATATTTTAAATGTAATCTCAGTTTAAATGATACTTCCAGCTAAAAACATATAAAAAAATCCAGAGGTACATAGTCATTAATGAAGGAATTCCTTCTGATTAATGAAGAAATTTCTTTCCTTCAGATTGCTCACAACTTTTCATACAAATGTAGAAATCTGATATGGATTTTAAAAGTTCCCTGCTCAGGGTTTCACACGGAAAGTTCCTTTCACTCTCTTCTCATTGCCACCAGTAAGAATCTTTGAAAAAGCTGCTTTCAAAACCTTTAACCCATAGTTTTCCCTTGTGAAGTCCATGTGTAGGAGTCACAAGACTCCAAAAGAAAGTAATTCGAACACATCAGTGGAGCTTGTATATGGGCCTGCAGGACCAAGACTTATGTTATTTCCCATGGTGATGTAGAAATGGGCTAGAAGCTGTGCTGTGATTAAGCCACTGCTAGCTCATTGCCCTGAGCTTGTGTAGCTCTGCAAACACCTTTCATACTGTTTGAAGGTCAGTCAGGACTCCACTAGCACATGACAGCTTCTATGACACCCACATTGACCAACATCAATTGAACTTAATCTTTTCTTTCCTGTCTCCAAAAGAAAGGAGCAGGCTGCATTTGTTGTTATCCCTAAACATTTCTTTTAATTACCTCAGTCTTCTTCCACAGTATTGTAAGCATCTGTTGTCCAGCTATTAAAGCAGTCAGCTTCACTCTCAGCTTTGCTGTGTTATTGGAGGTGGCCAACTTCTCGTTTCCTCCCTGCACAGATACAAGCTAACAGACTAAGATTCCTTCCCTCACTGAGGGCATACAGCATGAGCCTATAGGTTTTTTTTATTTTCATCAGTGTTCCAAAAATACCATTGAAGGCTACTAGCATATCCAGCCAAAATGTCTGTTTTGCTACTTTGCTTTATATTTTCCTTCTGACTATAGACGACTTTTGAAACAAGAGCTTAACACTGGGGATCTATGATTTCACACAAGACACACAATTTGTCTTCCTTTGAGTTGTATGTGGTTGCTCGGGAGATGGCAGGCACAATTTAGTTCTATGAGAGAGCAAAAGATCCTAGGCTACTGTTGTATATGAAAAGACATGGCATTTTTGCTATGTGAAGCATTAATAAAAAGGCTTAAAATTACATAGCTTTTAAGATGAATGAGGTTTAGCAATATTTCAATAAAGATTGATATGAAGAAAACACACATTTTTTAAAAAAAGTATTTCAAGCATTTCTATTAGCTTTGATGGTAAATGTAATGGGAGACAATGCTATAGTAGTCTATTAGAGCTCATTAACAACAACACTCAAAACGATATTAAAGACAGCACATATGACTACAGTCTGGGCTTGAACATTAAAAGAGCTGAATACTGTATCCAATAGAGTGGAATAAAATCAATAATAATTTTAAATCAAGTAATTGAACAAATTCATTGTTTTCTGTAGGACAACTCTTACGCTTCAAGGCAAGCATAAGAATAAAAGTAGGCTTACAAAATGAAGTCAGGACTTGTATTATTTTTGTAGAGACGGGAATAATTTTCGATTTCATGTTTCTGGTTTGTGCCCCAGTTACCAAGGAAAGATGTGTAGAACCCAGGATTGTGGCTGGTGTTTCTTTTTCAAGAGAAATGGAAATATGAAAATTTTAGTAATATTATAATGTGCCTCCCACTTACCAGATAAGTTAATTAAGTTGTTTATGGCAGATGAAATAATTAATGATCTAGGAATTGTTCAATTATTCTTTTCAAGAAGCAACCAAAGTACTAATTAATGGCTTAAAAAAAAAAAAAAAAGGAGTGCAAGATTTTACAAAGGCAGTTTCCAAATTCTGAAAGCGTTTTAATCTCTTAGCTAGCTTTGCAAAATATTGATAACTTATTTATTTTTATAGTAACACTGAAGGACCCAGGCAGCAATTGAACACCATAACTAGTACTTCCGTTAAAATTAAAATAAGGTCTTGTATAAGCAGTAGACTTTCAGTGGCCATCTAATAAAGCATATGGAGGAAAACCCCAGCACTGCAATCTTTTTATTTTCCAGCCACATATTTAATAAGAATGATGATGACCTATCGAACACAAAATGTATGCCTGAAACTCTCTCTCTAACCCCTATTGATGAAGAGTATCTCACTATCAGCTCAGCGTCTGTGACCTCACTTTCACGGGGAGGAAGCTCTGAGACACTCTCCACAACCATGGTGACCCCACAGCCACGTGCTTGTGGTCCTTTCTCATCATCCCTGCCTGCTAGAGAGACACATGACAGTGACAATGAATGGGAAGACTTGGAGGAACTAGAGGAAGAGAAGGAAGAAAAGGAAGACGGCACTAGGGTATGTGATAGGCTCCAGATTATTAACAGGTAGAATATGACAAGGGAAAAGAAACAACTTCAAGAATGCAACTTTCTTGAACATTAATTTTACCTCATTATCTATGCTGTTTCTGCATGGCTTTTTTTACTTTCCTGAATGTCCACAATCTTCAAGTAAAGCAGACCTTCCTCTATGCCCAGGTCTCCAGAATTCTTTACCATTTGCCTTAAGGTCATCTCCTTGCTCTTGCCATCTTACTATTTCTTCAGCTTTCCAGCATTCTGCAGTATTATTCCCAGTGTATAAAGGCCTAAAAGCCCTCTAGTAGCCTCTAAAATTAATTGGAGTCAGCTACTTGGGTTTTTTCTGTCATTTTTTTAAACCCATGTGGAAAATCACTTTGTTACAGTGATACTACTGTAATGTCCTGATAAGAAAGTATGATCCTTGCACTAATTACTATTCAAAATGTAGGGCTCAGTCCTGCCAAACGCTGAACATCTTGCATTCCT